TGGCCCAAAAAAAAAAAAAAAAAAAGGCCTAGAGTTTAAGACCAGCCTGGGCAACATGGCGAGACCCATCTCTACAAAAATTAGAACAATTAGCTAGGTGTGGTGGCACCCATCATCCAGCAACTCAGGATCCCCAGGCAGGAGGATCATTTGAGCCCTGTGAGCTATATCGCACCACTGCATTCCAGCCTGGGCCACAGAGCAAGACCCTGCCTCTAAAAAAAAAAATCGATAGAGGAAAATAATATCAGCGCCATTTGCAGTATGCATGCCTAGCACAGCTCCAGGAGACATGGGAGGCGGGAAACCAGGCTGCCTCCAGGGAGACACCGGGTGGCTGGGGACAGGAGATGCTTCACCCTCTCCCATGTGCGTTGTTTGATTTAGGAGCTCTGCAAAGACTGTCCTACCTCTCCAAAAGATAAACACGAGGCCAGGTTGCGGTGACTCACACCTGTGATCCCAGCATCTGGGGAGGCTGAGGTGAGAGCCTGAGCCCAGTGGTTTGAGACCAGCCTGGGCAACTTGGCAAGACCTCATCTCTATAATAAATCAAAAAATTTAGCCAGGTCTGGTGGTGCATACCTGTGGTTCCAGCTACTTGGAAGACTGAGGTAGAAGGATCGCCTGAGCCCGGCAGGTTGAGGCTGCGGTGGCTGTGAGCGTGCCACTGCACTCGAGCCTTGGTGACAGAGTGAGACTCTGGCATACACACACACACATGATAAATGCGTAAAACCTGAACTAAAAAAATGGAAACAAGGCCTGTGAGGCCTGGTTATTTACCTGCCCTTGTCATCCTGGACTCCTGGTCTCTGGGATGCTGGGTGCAGGGGCCACCGCGCCCAGCCCCTCCTCACCCAGCTCCCCTGGTCGGGTGCCTAGGTGGACTGGGCCCCCAACGTGGTCATCACGTTCAACTGCTCCATGGAGACAATGGTCCAGTGCGTGCTGCGGCGGGGCCAGATAGAACACCGGGCAGACGACTCAGAGCCCACCATCCACCAGTGCCTGGAGAGGCACTACACCTTGAGCGAGCCCGTCCTGACCTTCTACCAGCAGAAGAACCTGCTGCGAAATGTAGGTGCTCCCCACACGCCTGGGTCCAAGTCCAGCTCCGTTTTCCCACTGTTGTCCTCCGGGTGATCTCACCTCCTCTTGGGGAAGCACAGGCACCGGCCTCAGTCCACGGGCTGTGACGAGCTTTAGGGTCTAAACACGATGGGCCCTAAAACCGTGTGAAACTAGACATTTTAGAATTCGAGAGAACCCACGGCCATGGCGACCGGGCAGCGCCGCTCAGACCCACCCGCCTGTATCCTCCCGGTGGAAGGCAGCCACAGCTTTGCTTTCTCAAGGTGACTCAGCCGGCTCCTATACTTTTCAGGTAGGAAGATAAAAGGACTTTGGCAAAGTCCTTGTTCATCCCTATCTGCAGCTGAGTACTGAGTGGAGCCTTCTCCTCCCCAGCTGAGGCTCAGGTGCGGGGCAGCGATGCCCTGTGGATCGAACCAGCCTTGCCTCACAGGGCAGGCTCCCAGCACACCCCTCCCTCTCGTGGCCTGGAGGGACACTGTGGCCCACAGCAGTTAGTAACACACAGCCCCTGACCTTCCACCTTTCCGGACCCTCTCCCCCAGGCTCTTCTGAGGGGGAGGGCAGTGTCAGACCCAGACCTGACCTATGTCTTCCCCTTCTCCAGATCCTGGCAGAAGAGGCACCAGAGAACATTTTTGCCAAGTGATGCTCCGTCATTGAAAGTCTGCAGACAGGAGGGACTGTGGGCACGGCCTGGCTCCTCACCCTGGAACCTGCTCAGGACACAGGAGGGGCATGATGCTTAGGAGGTGAGACCTCTGTAAGGAGGGGCCGTGTCCTTCTGACTTCGGAGCACCAGCCTCCCCTACCCTGGATATTTCCCCAGGTGGGCCAGGGACCAGAGCACACCCACTGGCGCAAGCACCCACATCTGGATGAGGCCCGGGGTTGGAAGAGCCCCACCTAGCGGTGGCAGACTAGGTGACAGATGTCACTGGCTCCTGCTATTGCCACCAGCCTAGCCCATGGGTCCAGACATTTCATTGTGAAACCTTTTCTCTTTTGGAGGCCGAGTCTCACTCTGTTGCCCCGACTAGAGTGCAGTGGCACGTTCACGGCCACCACAGCCTCAACTGTTAGGCTCAGGTGATCCTTCTGCTTCAGCCCTCCAAGTAGATGGAACCACAGGCTTGCGCTACCACACCCGCTAACTTTGCTTTATTGTAGAGATGAGATCTTGCTGTGTTGCTCAGGGTGATCTTGAACTGGTGGGCTTAGACAGTCCTCTTGCCTCGGCCTCCCAAAGTGCTGGGATTACAGGTGTGAGCCACTGTGCCCAACGAAACCTGACTTTTAAGGGGTGGTATCCAGTCACGATCAAGACCCTGCTCCTGAGCCAGACAGCTCAGGGGGCCCTCAGTGCCTGCTCCACTGCCCACCCAGTCCCCTGCTCAGGAGGCCAGCAAGCACTGGCTCAGGCTAGGTCCCCACCTCCAGACTCTGAACACTAACAAAACAGGCTGCCACAGCCAGGCCGCCTCATGGGAGGGAAGCTTATGCCTTCGCTGTGGCAGCTGCGTCATCCGTGGGAACACCTGTCCCTGTGGACCCTCCCGGGCGACCTGCTCCCTAAGTTCCCAGAGGGAAAACTGGGGTGGGGGCAGACAGCAGTACCAGGGCTCAGGCCACCTGCCCCTTCCTACTTCAGGACAGTCCGGGAAGACCGCCCCATTCTCACTGGAGAAGCCTCATTCAACATGTTTCCACTCACAAACACAACTGCGGCTCGCACGCAGTATTCTTTTTTAAACAAAAAGCACTTTATTTAACAAAAAAAAAAAAAGGAGGGGGGAGAAGAAAGCACAATGCGCCTGCAGAAAACTATTTTCTTATATTTTTGTTTTCTTAAAAAAAACCACAACACAAAGCTTGTAATTTCCAATAACCATTATCAGGCTTTTTTTTACAACATCTATAAAGAACAAACACCTGCTTCAAAATTCTACTACAGGGAGGGAGGAGGGAGGAGGGAGAGGGAGAGGGAGACAGACAGCACCCGGCAGACACGGGGAGGTTTTGTCATCATTTATTTGTGAAGTTAAAAACGAGCGATAAAAAGTAAAAACTGCCATACAATTTTTTTTTGTTTTGTTCTCATTTTGTTTTCAGTTTCAATCTCCTTTTGAACAGATGAAAAGACAACAGACCAGACCAGACCAGTCCTGGGAGGGGGGCGGGCGGGGTCGCAGAGAGCTGAGCCAGGGTGGAAGGAGGAAAGGAGGAGGGGGGGTCGCCAGGGGTGGGGGTCCTGCAATAGCAACACCTGGTCCAAGGAATGTTCCAACTCTAACTAAAAAAAAGAAATAGCAAGAGTGACTTTTTGTTTCCTTTTTTAAAGTTTATTTTAAAAACAAGAGGGCCAAGGATGGCAGGAAGAAAATGAATTGCTTTATCCTCAGAGAGGCAGGTTTGGGGAGGCTGGGGGATAGAGATTTTTTAAATATATATATATATAATTTTATAAGTTTTGTTTTGCTCTTTGTTTTTAATTTTTAAATTTATTTTTTGGCAGAGATTTAGTTCTCGCTATCTTCTATGGCTGGCTCAACATGAAGGATCCCAATTTCGAAAGAAAAAGCATGAGACACACAGAAGGAGCGAGAGAGTGAGAGCCCCGCACACCCCTGCTGCTCCCCGAGAACCCCACGGCAGCCATCGCTCTCTCGCCAAACGAACAAACAAACCAAAAAAAAAAAAAGCCCCCAAACAGAACAAAATGGAAAAAAACAAAGATTTTTCACAGATGAAGAAGTTCACATTCATTCGATTCATTGAGCCTGCGGAAAGGGAAGAGATAGGAATCGGTCACTACGGGGAGGGGGAGGGAGACTAGGGGGTAGCGGAAGAGAGGAGGCTGGAACACCTGGGGGGGGCCAAGAAGCCCCCTCCCAAACCTGCGGCTGGCTCAGGCTGGAGGACGTGTTTGTCACTGCCTAGTCAAGTGCTCAAGGGACTCACTGAAGTCACCGATCCTTGATGGAGAAGGAGAGAGGAGGACAGACAGCAGGAAGAGAAGCAGGCGAGGAGGGGAGAAGCGCTGGGGGGAGGGGTGCCCTCTGTCTTCAGGAAGGTGGCGGCTCCCGGCGCATCACAACATCAACAATTCAGAGATCACGGTGTCCCCACAACACCCCTGTGAGGTAGGTTGGAAGGTGGCAACGATCTTCATGCCCACTTCACAGACAAGACCGGGACACGAGGCAAGCACGCAGGAGGCCGAGCCTGGCAGGCGCCCTGGCCTGGTCCCCTCGTCCCCGCCAGAGCTGGGCCGCCTGCAACAGTCACTTGGACTCGAGGGAGAAAAGACCATGGGTTTAAAAAGTAAAAGAATAAGAACAAAAACCAAAAAGGTGATGCAGAGAAGGGGAAAAAAATAGACGTTTTCTTCCCAAGTGGCCAGATTGTGAGTGAGCGGCGCCTTGACAGTGACCACGTCCGCGCAGTCCGCTGCCCCACCCCAGGACTCCCCAGCAGTTCGAGTCCCGCCTGCGTGGCTCGCGCTCCCCCAGCATCACGACAGCGGTACACAGGAACAAGCAGCTGGCGGAGGGAGGCCTCTTCCTTCAACCTCTGGACCCAGCGTGCACTTCCCCGGCGGCGCGTGGGGACTCCCGGAGACCTCTGGCCACACGACCCCGCGGCAGGCATCAAGGGCACACCCCGCAGGGAAAGGGATTTCCGGCGCTACCCACTAAGGCAGGATGGACGGTGGCCGGGGGTTGGAAGGAAAAAGGAGGAGGAGGAGGGTGGCAGTTCCCACTTGCCTGCTGCTGTCCCTGCTGCGTGGGAGGTGGCTGGGGGCCGCCAGGACCTGGCGTCTGTCCGTAGTAAGCGGCCTGCTGTCTGTAATACTCTGCCCAGGCAGCACTGTAGTCTGGCTGGGAGCCTGGGGGTGCTCCAGGACCCCCTCCGGTGGCCACTTGTGCTGCGGGTGGACAGAGCCAGGTGAGCGTCCATGGGCGAGGGCCGCTCTGCCCATCTCCTGCCCCCGCCCGCCCCACGTGGGCGGCTGCTCACCCTGCTTCTTGTAGTACTCCTCCCAGGCCTTCGTGTAGTCCTGCTGCGGGGGTGCTCCAGGCTGCTGGGGCTGCTGGCCTGCAGGGCACCAAGAAGGGTCAGGGGTGTCCCCCTTGGGTGGAGCTGAACCACCTCCAGCCACACTGACTCACCAATTTTCTTGTAATACTCTTCCCAGGCCTTGGTGTAGTCCGACTGGCCAGTGGGCGGGGGCTGCGGGGGCTCGCCCTGGGTAGGTGGGGCTGCAGGAGCCGGCGCGGGGCCCGGCACCGGGCCAGGGGGCTGCTGGTAGTAGTGTGAGTAGTAGGCGGCCCAGGCAGCGTTGGGGTCTGCGGCTGCCGCAGCTGCTTTGCCTGGAGGAGGAGGGGAGTCCAGGCTAAGGGGCGGGCACGGAAGCCAGGCCCCCACCTCCAGCCACGGCCCGTCACTTACTTGGGTCATGAGGAGCAGGCGGCTGCCACTGGGGGTAGGTGTTGCCCCAGCCCTGGGGTGGGTACTGGTGAGGGGGGGGCCCCCCAGCACTGCAGGATGAAAGAGGAGGGCTGAGTGAGCAGTGGGACTGGGGGCCACAGTCACCCCACCTGGGGACGTGAAGCTCGAGTCCCCAAAACTCAGAAGTGATGCCTCGAGAAGGATGTGCTCTACGATGGAGAGCCCAGGTCCACAAGGACAACGGTCTTCAAGAACAGACCGGGCCCCAGCAACCAGCACCACTGCAGGGCATCTCCAGTCAGTAAAGGGAAACGAGACGTGTTGCCCTCCTTGCCAGCGCAGTGAACCCACACCCCGAAGCCCAGGAGCCGAGAGGCATACTCACTGAGGGGGAGCCCCAGGTGGCCCCTGGTTGAAGGGTCCAGGGTTGAAGGGCCCCATCGGGCCAGCAGGGCCTGGGCCCCCTGGGCCTGGTCCAACTGGGCAGAGAGGACCCTGGAGGGAAGGAGAGCAGGTGAATGGAGGGAGGCAGTGACCGGACCTCCTTGGTGCTGGGCGCCTCAGTTACTGGCAGTGTGAAGCCCAAGTGCCCAGAGGCCCCCAGCCCACCTCGATCTTCTCCTCAATAAGCTGCTTGGCATGGTCGATCTGCTGGGGTGAGCCCCGGATGATGAACAGTTTGAAGTTGGGATCCCCATTGGGTGGCAGCTGCCGGGAGATCTCCACAAAGGCTCCCGTCTGCTGGTTTATGGCTTTCACGTTCTCGCCACCTGCAGAGAGCCAGGCAGTGAAGGGAGGCCTACGATGCGGGACAGGGTAAGGGACAGGGCTCAGGGCCACACTCACCTCGGCCGATAACCAGCCCACACTTGTGGGTGGGGATGGAGAAGGTCATCTCCCCACCAGGAGGGCCCCAGTTGCCCTGGCCTCTTCCTCGGCCCCGGCCTCCCGGGGGCATGCCAGGACCTCCTGGAGGGCCCGGTGGACCACTCTGCAAGATAGGGAGAAGGATGAACAACGGAGGCCAGCCTGGCCCAGGACTTCCCTGGGAGGGCTCAGCCAGCTTCCTCAGTCCATCTGAGACCTACCCGGAGGCTCTGGAGGAGGTCATTGATGATCCGGGCCGCGTGCTCGCACCTGTCCGGGGGCCCCATTATGTGGGCTATCTTCTCAGGACCTGTCCCGTCATCTGAGGCCAGCACCAACAGAGCAGAGATGAATTTAAAAGAAACGGCGATCCCCAAAGCCCTGCAACATCTTCTTCAGGGTACAGGCTGTGCCAAGCCAGTGTGGGATCTCTCAGACTGCGAGTGCCGCTCCTGGGCCCAGTGTCCTCGTGGCCAAGGCAGACCCGGCTCCCAGAAGGAAACTGCCCAGCCGAACCAAGGCTTCTCCAGCACGTGGTGCCCCAGAACCAACTGACAAGGTTTACTAGACTAACAACGAGTCTCTAGAAGCAGCAGAAGCCCTTCCTCCCCACAGCAGGCTGCCCTGTCAGGATGGTCTACTTCTTGTGGGGGAAAGGGAAGGGACAGATGTGATGGGGACAAGAAATATCTTCTTTTGGACCTGGAAAGACCACATGCTGCCAACTCTATCAGGTGGCTGCCCCACGGAAGAGACAGTGCATGTTCCAACAGCAGGACTGGGAGCAACAGGGCCCTCCAGAGAAGCGCAACACAGGCCATGGTCCATGCTGCCTCTGGGCTTGCCTCCCAGGGAGGGCAGCTGGCCAGGGCCGGGCTGGGGCAAGTGTGACTGGCTGCAGGGCCCACCAACTGGTCTTAAAAGGCAGAGCTGGCAGATATGCCCACACCCTGACCTTGCTTAAACTGTATCCGCACACCAGCATCATTCTGGATCTTTTTGATCATCTCTCCGCTCCGGCCGATGACCACGCCGACAGAATGCCTGGGTACCGGCACCTGATGGGAGGCAGCGGGAGGGTCAGCCCCGCAGCTCTGCTGCCCTCTGCTGCCCACTGGCCATGAGAGGAGCCACGCCCCCGCAAACCATGCAGGAAGGTGGGCCCACACTCACATCAATGCCCCCGCCAATCCGAGAGCCATACTCGTTCCGGTCCCCAAAGCCGCCTTGGTCACGTTCCCGGAGGATGTCCATCACCATCTCGCAGGCTTGCTGCAGACACAGGACAGTCCCCATGGGCAAGCCCTGTTGCTGCACAGTGCCCATCCAGTCCCCAAACTCCACAGGGACAGAAGCCTCAGCTAAGGACCCACCACACGGCACCCTGCCCAACTCTGTCTGCCACACTAGTGGGCAGGCACTGCCAGAGCCCCACTTTCCAGAAAAGAGAGTGGAAGGTCAAAGTGGGAGCCGGGGTGGCTCCAGAGCCAGTGCTCTGAACGCCTCTCCACGTTACCACCACACACACACCTCTGGTGGCACAGGGTGCAGCCCCCAGGTCACTCATGCCACACTCTCCTCTCCAGACCCCACCAGCCCTGACACTCACCTGCACTTTGTAAGGATCCCCGATAATCCGGAGAGGTTTGTCCACATTCGTGTTCTGGGAACCATCCTGAATCAAGATCATCTTCACTCCAGCTCGCTCCTTCAAAACCAACGTGAACTGTTAGTGTGGGGCTTCTCGGAACTCGGGCTGAGGCAGGTAGGAGGTGGGCTGATATAAAAGGATGAAGGCCTCAGCTGAGAAGCCTGTGGGGGTGGTGGGGGTGGTGGGGTGGTGGTGCAGACACAGGAAGGAAAACCGCAGGGAAGGAAGGAGCCCACCCTGGTGCTGCTGCCTCACCTGTAGCTGCTTGATGGTCTCCCCGCCTTTGCCAATGACCAGGCCGGCCTTCCCTGCAGGAATCATGATCTCCTGCACGGTGCCATTCTGACCCCCGTTGGCGTTGTCGTGGAACTGTCCTGGGGGGCCTCCACGGCCCCGAGACACAATGTCATCCAGCATCATCTTCGCTTTCCTGGAAAGGAATGGGTGATACCACTGGAGAAAGAGGATTGGTCTGGTGGCCTACCCGGCTCAAAAGGATGATGACCCCAACACCCATCTGGCAGATAAGGTGGGACCAGTCCCAGGGCTGTTTGGATGTGGGCTCCCCATCAGCCTGTTGCTGAAGCTCTTTGGAGGAGCAGGGGTAGAAGACATGTCATGGGAGCTGCTCTCAACTTTCCAAGGGCCGAGGGAGGCTTCTGCCTGTGACCCTCACCACAACGAAGCCCAGCCAGGACTTACTGGACAGACTCTGGGGCACCTGTCAAGGACACACTGCGCTCGGGCAGGCCACCACTGTCTGGAGAAAAGAAGAGAAGTGAAGGAAGAGGTAGATGGAGAGGGTCCCAGACCTGGCTGCCCCCCACCCCTGCTACCAGCAACAATCACACGAGCCTCTTCTACAGGCAATGCACCTCATATAAGAGCCAATCTCCAGAAACCCCTACCAGTCACACTACAGCTCAGGAATCTGAGATTTAAGAGGTAAATAACTTGTCCGAGATCAGATGTGAGCCAGAAACCCAGGCCTGACTCAAAGTGATCACGCTTCCTAAGACGCCACCCTGCCTCGCACAGTCCCGCATGCGGGTTATTTCACTTAGGTGCCAAGTCCACGCAAGGCTTCAGAGCATGGTGTCTGAAATGAGGTGCCCTGTGGTCAATTCTAGACAGGCCACTTCACTCCGCACCACCCCCTCAACTGTACAAAGAAAAAAAGGTGTCAGGATGACTCCTGTGGACTGCACTCATGTAGAGTGAGAGACCCTGTGCTGAGCCTGGTCCCAGAAGCGCACCCATGATGCCAATCACTCACTTCTACATGACAAAGGAAAGTGGTCACAGAAGAGTGCAAAGCCTCCCTCCGTCCCCCCTCAGCCAGTTACAGCAGGAGTCTGGTTCTTTCATACCTGGAGAGATCTGTACTTTGCAGCCTGAATCCTGTTGGATTTTGTTAATTTGTTCGCCTCCTCTGCCAATTACTAGGCGGGGAAAAAGGAGAAAGACAGAAAGTGACTGCAGGAGCCCAGGGCTGAGAAACCTGTGCCAAGATCCCCACCCCTCTGAGAAGGGCAGCAGCCATTGCCCCATCCTCCTCCCAGAGGGGACCCAAGGAGGGAAAATGAGAGCAGGACACAGGAGCTCTCAGACCAGGACTCCTGGGCTAGCAGGGGGTCACAGAACACTGACCCCAAGGGTAGGATGATGGCCCTTCCTGACCAAGGTAGCCCACACTCACTCAGGCCCACCATGCCATCTGGGACCCTGTACTCTTCTGTCATCGAAGTCCTGCAAAGAGAAACACGGAAAGTCAGTCTCAAGTGAGAAAGGAGGAAGATGGAAGATCTAGAAGCTCTCCTGGAGAAAGCCATAACCCCAGCCCCCAGGGGTCCCTGGTGCTTCTGGCTGCAGACTCTATTCCAACGACAAGGGAACCAAGATCTCACAGGTCTCGGTGAAGTCTGATCACAGACAGGACACAAAACCTCTTGAGGCCTTGGTTTCCCCATCTGTGACATGGGGTCAGTGTGGTCTGGTGATGTCCCACTGATTCAGGGCAAGAGCAAGAACTCAGACACTTTTGTTACTGAGTTGCAGTCTCACTCTGTTGCCCAGGCTGGAGTGCAGTGGCATGATCACAGCTAACCTCAGCCTTGAGCTCCTAGGCTCCAGTGATTCTGCCATCTCAGACTCTCAAGCAGCTAGGACTACAGGCACGTGCCACCAGGCTCAGCTAATTAAAAAAAATTTTTTGTATAGATAAGGTCTTACTATGTTGCTCAGGCTGGTCTTGAACTCGTGGGCTCAAGTAATCCTCCTGCCTCAGCCTCCCAAAGTGCTGGGATTACAAGGGTGAGCCCCTGTGCCCAGCCTACTTAGATGCTTTTACAGCAAGCTGACCGTCATCTTACGTCTGTTGACTCTAATAATAAAAAAAATTGGTTGTGTACCCTTTTCGTTTTATTTTCCTAGTAAATCATACTTGACCGTATTTTACAAAACAACTGATCCATTAAAAAAAAAACAACAATACTGTGACCCTTCACAAACGACCTACATCTGATTCACCCAAATCTATCTGGGGTGGCAAAAAGGTAGCAAAGACCCCAAACTCTACCAACACTCAGTGGGAAAAACATCTGTAGAAGACGCATGGGAGAACAACGCCATTCTCCAGCCTCTTCCAGGAGACAGCTGCCTGTGCTTCTCAGAGCCCCCATGCTGGTGGAGGCAGCCACAGGGTGTAGGAACCACCCTTTATGTCATTACGATGACTGCTATGCCCCTCTCCACACAGTCCTGCAGGAAGGCAGGTACAAGGGCCTAACACAGCTTCTCTGCCTTTTGATTCCATCTGTGCACCCTCTGGTCAACTAGCAACGGGAGAGAAACCCCTGAATGGAGCAGCCCCAGACAGAACCCTCCCCAGTCGGTAAGAAGGGCCAGAAACAGCCAGAGACAAGAAACCACAACTCACCTCGGTGGAGGATGGATGGGTCCAAGTTGAGAACTGATGGCTGCAGAAAAAACCCAAAGTAAAGACAGGCTTAGCTCCTCTTCGGGCACCCGATGCTGCCCGCACCATGGTTCTGAGCCTGCTCAAGCATCTCCACAAAAGCCTAAACTTCAGGGCTCCAGGACTCCTAAAACTCATGAATCCCAGATTATGAACACCAGGGGCCCGCATAAAGAAGAGCTGCTGCCTACTCTGCTTCTAGCTCCTGACTCTGGAAAGCCTCTCAGGACCCTGAAGCCACCCTCTGCCTGCACCACCCAATGGACTTACAGTCGCCCTGGGAAGCCAGTTTCTTGCTCTCCGGTTGATCTGGGAAAGAGAGAGGATGCCAGATGCAGCACCCACCCACCCACGGCTGCCTCAAATCTGACGCTGGTGCCACATGTCCAGGGCAAACAGTCCCCCCTTCCCCCACCCCCAACATGAACGGTGACAAAAGCATACAAGAGACCAATGCCAGAGGGGGGCCAGACTTCATGGCTTCCAATACCAGCACTCAGAGCTTGAAAAAAGTCTGTAGAACAAGTGAGTACCCATGGGGACACCCAAGTCATCCCAGTCTAGGACTGGACCAGCCTCTGGGGGGTAGGGGTGTCCCGGATAACAGCAGACGATTAGCAGTTGATGTTGGCTGCTTGGGGAAATGCTGCATGCTCTAGGGCAGACCCAACTTTGGCCTGGACCTCAACAACCTACCCCAGAGTTCCTCAGCCTTCCAGGAGAGGAATCATCTTGGGAACTCACACTCTCGACCTAGTCACAATCAATCTGCCCTCCTCTCTGCCACCTGATACTCCAGGATGGCAGACAGAACAAAAAGAATTAACAAAGCTGGGATTGCTGAGGTTTTAAAAGACGAAAGAACAGCGCCCCCCCCACTCTGAACCACACAAACAAAAGCACCTCTTTCTGCCCCGGCCCTTCCTTCCTCCCAAGCTGAAAGCAGCAGCAGGGAGTTACCTCCATCTTCCAACTGTCTCTTTTGGCCCCCAAAACCAAAATCAGGAGTGCTGTTATTCACGGTTGTAGCAGCATCGCCTCCAATTTTGGCTGCGATCTAGAAACAAAGTAGTAAGCACAGAATTACCACCCAAACCACCCTTCGCGGTGCTCAGGGCAATCTCTCAGAACCTCTCCAGAGTACAAAAGCCCACCCGGTCTTCCCGTGGAACCCAGGAGCTGCTCCCTGACTCAGAGGAGAGACAGTTGGTTGAGACCCCTGGAAGGAGTTTTCACCCAAGGCCTCTCATGAGTTATCCAGGAATACCAAAATTCCCCTTTCCCTTTTGCTGGGATATGTCTAAACTATGGACAGGTCGTAGTCCATGCAGATTTGGTTTTAGGGGTGAAGGGGGGGTCTCAGGTCATCTCCAGTAGCAAGAGCTTTCAGACACTCCTGTGCGTGGCCCCAGCTTGCAGAACCAGAAAGGGCTATTCTGGCCTGGTTCTTGGGGGATGCCAAGAAAGCTCAACTTCTCCCTCCCTCTGGAGATCTTTGCATAGTGAATACATTTTTACTGAATACATCTGAGGGAAGTGGCTGCTTCAAGACACCTGAAATTCTCATTTAACAGAGACAAAAGACCCTTTGGGCCACAGGTTACGCTCTAGACATGTGAAGACCAACTTCACATAAACCCCAACCTAGAGACTCAAGACCAGAGTCTGAGGTTTAGTAAGTAGTCCGGCACTGAGCTAAAGATCTGCCTTGCCCTGTCTCCCTAATTTTTCAATGCTTACCTTGAGCCAAAGGTCTTGGGGTGCCCGTAGGGGGCCTTACCCCACCCCAACTGACAGCATCAGCTATCAAGACACCCCGGTGGGCCACCAGGTCAATCCCACCCAGACCCTACCAGATCCAGAGGTGAGGAAGGCAGAGATCGGCTGTGAGAGCCTGGGCGTGCACCTAACGGGACCTCCCACCTTGGGAGGGGCCAGTCACTGCCCCGGAGGCACTGGGGCCTCCGGCAGCACTCTCAATCGGCCCAGCCGGTCTGCTTCCTGAAAAGGCGGCAGTAGTCCTCCCACCCTAGCGGCCCCCACCCCTCCATGCCCGGGGAGGCTGTGAATGGAGCCGGAGAGGTCAGTCACATCGGCATGTGACACTTCCTTGTCATCACACCCCAAAACACGGTGCTGGGACCCTGCCCTCTTGCCCCAAAGGAGACAGGCCAGGCTTTCAAGCCACCCAACGCATCCAAAAGTCAGTCCCTATGCCCTCCTCTCCCATGTCGCCCGAGTGCTCGGCTACTCCGGCGGCAGAAACGTCCCTCTCCACTTTCAAGACTCAAAAGGTAGGACTCCCTCTCCGAAGTCCCTTCTTCCTAGGGAGAGGACAGAAATGGGATTGGGCTGGGGACAAGCATGGTTCTTTACTCTGATGTGTCAGGGGGAGCAAAGCAAGACCCTCTGCCTGGGAAGGTGGACCTTCTCCCTCCAGGACCGGGGAGCAAGCCCTCCCGTGTCCTAACGGGGGTCCCAAAGTGAGTCCCCGCGCTCCGGGGGTCCCCGCACACCCAGGGGCCGCTCCTGGAGGCCCCCCGTACGCCCCTATCCTCTACAGGAGGGTCACCCGCGGGGAGCCCACTCGAGGAGCCGCGGGAGAGCCAGGCCCCCGCCTACCGCCCACGTGACCCCGTGGCGGCCCCGGCCCCCCTCCGTGACCCTGCGCGCGCGCACGTGACACC